TGAAACGTGGCATGGACGTTCCTACTGACACGATGAGTTCAGGAGAAATACAAAATTTTAGATCCATGCCCTGGGGGCATATTTTTGGGCCGACGTTTTCAAGTATTTTTTTTTGTCCTGGTGTATAGAGCTGGTGTGGAAAGATAAAACTTGGTACATAATTACCTACCGGGATGCTGTGTGCAGAAAATTTCAGATTAAAATTTGCTGATTCAGCAAAACAGGGGGTGGTAGAAAGTTTAAACTTGGAAAAGAAGTACCTGATGAATAGCTGAGTAAAGAAACTTTTCTACTTTGATTATTATGTATAGATGATCGTGAGCAGCTGAATGACTGACATAAGTAGCTATTGACATCTTGAGTTCAGGAAAAATTCGACTTTGGTGATACACGCCATAGTGGCACACCTTTTCGGGGAACATATTTTCAAATACTTATGAGGCTGAAACTGGGTGGCATGGAGTTCGCTAAGTCTATATTTCAGAATAAAAATAAATATCCGTTTAAAAAAATCAGGAAACTTTTTTTTTTAAGTCCTATATTCGTGAATTATTTTTCGATCCAACGAAACAGAAACAGAAAATTTAAAATTCACTCAGAAGTGTCTGTTTTATGGCTGAGTACGGGAAAAATCCTACTTTTGAAATATGCCTCATGAGCTAGATTATAGGAGGGAAGTATTGCATTATGTATTCTCCACCCTTAGAAAAAGGNTGCCTCATGAGCGTAGATTATAGGAGGGAAGTATTGCATAATGTATTCTCCACACTTACAAAAAGGGACACATGAAAAGATTTCAAATTAGGCTCTGGAAGTCACAGAAGTAATGATTTCGATAAAAATGAAGACTTTCGTCCCCATATGTCACGTATTCCAATGGGACGTACTTTAAATAAGTGTTTGCCATTTCGCAAAGAATAAATGAATTAATCGCAATCCAAGGTAATGGAGAGCCGAAGGCTCAACCACAGCGAGTTTGTTTGCCCGAAGGGCAAAGAAACTCGCTAGTAGTCAATATCTGTGGCTTAAGTGGCCTGAAACTGGGGCTTAGGGGCCAATTATAGGGTGTTTACCCTACATGACTTCGTTCCCTCCATTTTGCCAAACTTGAAGTGGGAAGGAGAAAGTGCAGCTCCAAAAACTAAGAAGGGTCTAAACGACCTAAAAACGGAAGCACCCGAACGGCACCACGGCCAGCATCGTGCGCCGGCTCAGGCGAATGCAGGATGGCGGAACATCCAGCGCGCTGCAGTCATGATTTGGAAATCACAGGCGAATCAGGCGAATCAGAAATCGAACTCCCAAGGGTTTCCCGAGAAAAGCATATCAGTCCTAAACAAAATGCAGGAGTCCAGTCGGTAAGTCCTTCAAAACGTGGTTTGCGGCACAGGACTTCGTTTTCACCCGTTTCGCAACTTGAAGTTGAGCCTTTTGCTCAGGATTTTCCACATTACCTACGTATAGGTTTTCAGCAATCAAGAAAGTATTACCGTTTTTATATAATGACTGCGTAATGCAAGTGGCTAACACTTTCATATTTCGCCAAGCAAATGTGTTGAACCTATTGCACGTACACATAACCACTGCCATAACCCTAGAAGCAAATAACATTGACACAATATTGATTCAATGTTGTTTCAGTGCTATGTGTTACTGGGGAAATCTCAAGGTGCATATCTCAGATATTCACTTCTTTCCTGAGAGACTCATCCCTCAATGAGCTAGTGACTCCAAAGTCATTAGAGATAGTTTTAGACAGATATTGATGATTCAAAAGCAAGGTATATACAAGGTGAATTCTATTCCTCCACGGTGGATCTCATACGAAGAAAAAATTCTAAATCTGTCAATTCACCCTACCTGAAAACTTTGTAAATTTTTTAATTGGGAAAATTGACATACAAGGAGGATCCAACCGCCTGGTGAATTCTCGTGACACTCTATATGGAATCGTCGTTTCACCGCAGTTGCAGACCAAATAATTTATTTTGCATTGCTTATATACTCATCGCCAAAAAAAGTCACACCAAGAAGGAGTTGAGCGATCTTGATGAAATTTGGTAAACATACTCGTATTAGTGTGACATGAAATTGATGCTAGTTTCAAGGTCGTTTGTTAAATATTCGCAGAGAAAACCTGCCAAACATCCAAATTTAAATGGGGTCGGAGGGGTCGTACTTATCGCCCAGAACGAATATCTAGAAGGAGTTTAATGAAATGCGAAAAAGGAACTAATACTGATTTTTAGTACAATGAAGCAACGTTTCAAGGTCATAGGATGAAGCGATGCAGGGAGAACTTGCCAAGCTATCCGAACGCCCCAAAGAATGGGTAATAGGGAGACTGCACTAATCAGGCCAGTCTCCTTTTCTGCTTTCTTCCATTCACTCGTTCAATGGACTCCAGAAATTTTCGGGGCAAGAACTTTTAATATGTGAATTTACTTACTCTTACAAAAAAAATGTCATCCTATGTTTTATTACTCTCATGCATACGCGCTATAAAACGCGCTACCTTTTCACACACGATTGGACCTCTTAATTCACACTCGTAGCACACGTTCCCTTCCAATGTGATCACTCACAATAAAACGTTGAGCAGTGCAGATCATTCCCATGAGATTTCTCGTGAGACTCTCTTCCTTGGTTCTATTCAAAATATTCAGGCTGTCGATTTGTAATTTCGAATGAGTTTTATCATCTGCAGACGGAAACATTAATTTTGAGGAACTCAAAATTCAATAAATGTATGCGGTTGTGATATTAAGAAGCATCGAGATCAAATGAAGACCGATTCCAAATGAAGAACTTCTATATACTGCCTGAATTTGGCGTGTATGTTTGGTTATGACCTAATTCATTGAAAGAGTGGAATTTCTGCCAGTATTAAAGTCTCTAAGTCCGCTACTCGTTTTTTTCACACTTGCTTTCCATCAATCCTGGAAAATATGAATAGGAAGCATATGATATGAAGCCATGCTGTTTTGGATAATATACTGCAATTCGACGGAACCGGTGCGTCATGACGCGGACTCGGCCGCAGGCGTGCAGACGATCCACTGGCAAGACCCAAGCCGGCGAAAGCCAATCTTCGCGAAAAGCGTGAACGAAGCCGGATTGTTCTCGTCGATGATCGCATAGGGAAGCAGACCCCACGCTGCCGCCACGCGGCGGGAGACCCAGCGGACGAGCAGCGAGGCCAGCCCCCGTCCCCGGTGGGGCTCCGTCACGTGGAGGATCCCTTGGCTGCCGTGTGAATGCATGACATACCACCCCACCAATTCATCTGAAATGAATTACACAATTTACAGTTAACACCGAGATGCGTCGTTTACGAAAACAAGACATGTCACCTCATCGTAAACACGATAATTGCCACTTCTCCGCGAAGTCGCGTTAACTATAGCATATGTGAAATTCAAAAAGCTACAAACTAATATCCAATTTAGGTATCATAGATTCATTCTCCATTGTTATTCATCATCGAGTAATTATCGATTGAGAGGGCAAGGAAATGGGCAAAGCGGAAGTATGATTTCAGGTCAGTAGTTCATGAATCAATGAGTAATAATGAAATTGGAATGACATTATGAGCCACAAATTTCTTAACCCTAATAAATCACATCCAAAATGTGCATTTTACGCAATCACGGAAAAAGATGCAGATTTGATACTACCAGCAAAGGAAATATTATATAAAATTACGATAATGGCGATCGATATCGGCATGCACATTCATTGTAAAAAAAAATACTAGGAATTTATACGTTTCATCATGTTCAAAACTCATACTTGAAAATAATAAATTTCCAAGAAACGCGCGTGAAACTGAGACAACCTTTCCACAGTCTATTTTTGTTCGAAGATGGTTTCATATTGATTTCATAGCCAACAAATTTTTACTGTACAAATTTACAGTCCAAGTACAGTTACAGTACAAGGGACCAGCTTTGCATACAAGTATTTTTCGCTTTAGCTAGGGATGAACAACTCCTGTGGAATTCGTGGATAATCCCAAATAATGGTACTGGAGTTATATATATATTCGTTTTCTTTTGATGAAAATAAATGAAAGATATAAGGTGCAGGTCATGCGTATTAGCGGTTCTGAGGGAATGAACATAACAAAATCCAAAGTCAGGTTACTGTGACAAGTTGGACGCCTAATAAGAGGATGGACCCCCGTTCATTAGTACGTTCCGCTTCAGAAGTTCCAAGCTGATCCCTAGAGGGCGATGCGTTTCTCGTCAGGCAGCGGAAGAAACAGAATCAGCGAAATTAATAAAGGCGTCTTCCTCACGTACCAGAAGTCTTGTTGAAAATTCCAAACCCACATGCGGATTTGGCAATATCCTTAATTCTGGTCAAAGTGTTCGGACCTTTGTACTTCCACCTGTCATTTATGATCTCCGCATGCTCAATGCTCAATGGTTTGATCTCCAAATCATCAGGAATCCTGCCGGAAAAAAAGAACTTCCGGTGGTAGCCTAACAGGGAGGATTAGAGCTTTACGCATATGTACATCATGTGTCTTATCACACAAACTATATATGCTATCGTGAATGGATATTCGATGAGGTTATGGTGGATGACAGGTTTTTGGCCTGCTGGAATAACCATGGTTATGGGTTATTCGTACGAGTACTTGAATGTATCATCCCCATTCCACATGTAGGCATTCCACATGTAGATGACGGGTGTGGTAGTTGGGCAATTATATTCCTTCTTTGGGCACCAAATCCATTGGCAATTACGAATAAAATATCTGAATGTGGATACTATGGGTAACCAACTTCCATATATGACATTTCTAAAAGCAGACCAGCAATAACGTTTGCTAAATGTTTATAAGTGTTATGAAATATACAGGCGTGAAACTACCTGTCTACATGAACGTGCTGCCTTAGTCGGCAGAAATATTTGAACAAATTCTGACTTAAAGTGACACTTTATGCCAGATTTTTCAGTGTCAATTTCATTGTATATTTACGGGAATAGCCGACATCGAGATCGAGAGTTCCTTAAGGGGTTTCGAAATTAATTTCTCGGAAAACAGTCTTATAAATGGTCTTACATTACCATGGTCTTACATTACCATGGTCTTACATTACCATGGTCTTACATTACCATGGTCTTACATTACCATGGTCTTACATTACCATGGTCTTACATTACCATGGTCTTACATTACCATGGTCTTACATTACCATGGTCTTACATTACCATGGTCTTACATTACCATGGTCTTACATTACCATGGTCTTACATTACCATGGTCTTACATTACCATGGTCTTACATTACCATGGTCTTACATTACCATGGTCTTACATTACCATGGTCTTACATTACCATGGTCTTACATTACCATGGTCTTACATTACCATTGCTACTGGATGGATTGATAACTAAAAACGCCCACCAGATATAATAAAAAATCCCATTAGGCTGTCACCTTAATATATCTCTTTCAGAAGATGCCCAATATATCATGACTTTTGATAACCCCATTCCGTGTATGGTACCAGTAAAACAGAATACGAAACTAACCTCCCATCCCATGTCAAAGCCAGGCCTCTCTCCCAGACGTACTCCAGTTTTTCCACATGAGATTCCAACTTGTAGGAAGCACCCATTTCCTGAGAAATTTTCTCAATGGTATCCCAGAGTGAGCGCGGGACTGCACCGAATGTCATGCGCTTACTCCAATCCAATGTCCTGAGGCAATCCTCCAGCAGTTTCAAGTCCGATTCCAAGCAGCAAAATAGGTATGTGTGGTCTTGAATTGGCTGGCTTTGCTGCCATTCCAGCTTCACACGTTGGGCACCGGAATATTGTCATTTGATGTGCGTGGAATATCAAAGTATAGTATGGAGTGAGGAAATGCGTTGAGTTCAACTCACATATGACAGGATGACAACATGAGGCTTACTTGGAGGAACTGGAAGAAATGCCTTGGTGGCTGGTAGTAGGCCTGCGTGCATCATGCTTACTACGTTGTGTACCTATTATGGGGAGAAATACATCACACATAAAATAACATTCTGAGAATTCGTTCTACGGATTTCAACGGAGCACAACCCTTTGGAAGTTATATTTGTTTCAATGTTGGCTTACTATCTATCAATACCGGCATGAAGAATTCATCAATCTCATCGACAGCGTTAAATCCCATCTGCAATATTCATTCACGTGCTTGAAACATATTTTAGATTCAATAAGCGAGCAAGCACCTTAGGCCACAAAAGCACCTTAGGCCACAAATTAGGCCACAAAATAAATAAAGATACAAACAAATGTGTGTGCAAGCAGTACTCAGCAAATGAAAATTCGATATATGTAAGTATTCCACGATCGGCAGATACTGAATCCAAACTATGTATGAACTATTACTTCGGAAACGTGCATTGTTGTTCGAAGTCAATCGAACACCTAAAATGTTTCAAACTGAAATACTTACAGCAACATTTTCCGGCAAGTAGGGCTCAAGGAGATCCTTGAGGTCCTTCAGTTCATATTTCTCCACTGGGCGCAGCTGCACTTTATCCAACATGTTAGCTTTGGTTGTCACTTGAAGTTTCTTCTCGAGGTGAATGGTGAAAAGCGGAATATCAGCGGTTAGCTTTTGGAAGTCCTGAAAATTCTTGAAAAAGGCACATTTTCCAATAAATAAACTGCTGTCAGCTTCATCGTTGGCTTCCGTGGCTCAGTTAGATGATAGCCAAGGTCCCATTCCAATGCACAATCGTTATTGGCAACTACTGGACAGCATGTGTTGACGTATTGAGGAATTTAATTCACGGAAATCACTAAGACATTTCCTCTTTATGTAGAATATCGCGACTACAAAAACAGGCTTTCAGTAGCAACATACGAGGGGCTATGCGATTGTTCACTCTGCAATGGGCTCTTGGGAGGGGAAGCACACTAATTCTACGAATGCATTGCTGCACTTGGAAAAAGAAAACCTAGAAAATCAACGAAGGTACAAGTCAGCAACAGAAGATTGCAACGTGGGATGATGAGATGAAATGCTTGGGGAAACTAGCATCGCCTGTCACAATAAAAAAAAATCCTTAAAAATTGACGGAACGGTGTATTGGTTTCCCCTATTCATATCATGCAACCAACTATTAGCAATCAATCACCAGTGCCAGTCTATCTGCAGGCAAAATGGTTCCAATGTGTTCTTTTATTTAGCTGCCTAAACGATACAATCTTAGCACTTCCACCCAAGGGACACGTTACTAGAGACAAATCCGGCATAATTCAATGACAATATCAGTTTGCTCAGTGACTGCAGGGCAAAAAAAGTCTAGTAAGAAGTCCGGCGGCACAAGGACTAAAACCTAGGATGCATAAATAAGGTATAAAGGAAAAGGTGAAAGGTGAAAGGTGAAAGGAAAACCCGAAAATACAGAAAAAAGTATAAGGTACAGGTGACGTGATTGAGACTTTCTGATAACGATGAGGGTCGATGGCAATAATAAAAATTAAGGATTCACGCATGGTCACTCGTGGTCCTTCGTGGTCGTTGACTTTCTGGCGAGTACGTTTCCTTCACCTATAAATGCACGAAACTGAGCTAATTAAATTCGGAGACAAGTGCTTAGAGGAACGTCGTCGGCTTAATTTCATGAAGGAGTCTTTTTTTAGGCAGGAGAAATAGCACAAATGCCTGTCTGAGCAGAAATGAATGCAACCTAAACTTGAACATATATGACCTGGTTCGATCACTCTGCATAACAGGCATCGAAAAAATAAAAAGTTGACTTTGATTCGTCCCACCCTGGGTAATCAGTCCCGTCATCACCGGGGACCAAGTCATTTCCCAGTTTCATGCATAATTCTAAAAAAATTCCTTAACCCCGGATTCAACCATAGGGTTGTGGACCAAGCCTTGATGACTCCATTCCATATCCCAGTATTCAATTGGTCGGTCATTTGTTGCCTTCCTTCTCTTACAGTCACCAATGAGCATATATTCATCAACCTATCGTAAGAGACCATTCTACCTCATTAACTGGGATATTTCACTCAGCCAGATCTGAGACCTTGGAAAAGTGAATTTCCTGGAAACAAGTAATAACTCTCCTCTCAACGTTCTCACCCGCCTTAACTGGATTTTGCCAACCAAGTCCCCTTCATTCATTTCGATACGAAGCTCAGGAGACTAAATGAACTCGAATTGGGTTCTCGAACTGCTACTGGGAAGGTTCCACACCCGCTTTCCTTCAATGATGTAACTATTCCTCACAAATGAAATGAATGAATCCCTCACAAATGAAATAGAAACTTAATGAATCCAGTGAAATGTACTCACTCCCCTTCAGAGATGGAGACCCACGAGTCAACGAACCACTACTTTCAATCCGCATCAATTAAAAAACTTCAGCATGATTCATCGTTGGGTATGATACCGGGCAATGGATTTTTTTCACGAAAGGTTTAATGCTAAAAAATTACCACTGTCGGCAGGCGAAGTCTTCGGTGAGATTCCGCGAACGAAAAGCGTTAGGGAGGATGCATCACGGATTCGTCATCCTCAGAGCAACTGTGATAGATCCTCTTGAATGTCAAAACACTGAGTTCCATCACAGGGTTGTGCAATCTCGCTACTAATTCACGATGAGATACTAATTTATACATCTTAATTTCTCGATGCAAACATAGGATTACATGAGCGAAACAAGTTTCAATGTCAGATATGTCTGGATTTGTGAGTATTTTTCCCTAATAGTATAATTCCCGATGTGGAATGCGCCGATTGTCGGTTCGGGATGGGGGAAAACTCTCGAAATGTTTGAAAATATATATCGTACTGGAATGAAGCTCTTCAAAACAGATTTCATTTCACGGGAAGAACGAATTAAGGAGAATTTGCCGATCCGGCATCCTGATCGCGAGTCTCCGAGTGCAACGGAAGGATCTCGAACCCGGTTGCCTGGGTCGGCAACCGGGCCAGGGGAGGCCCGGTTGCAGGAGGTTCAAGGATTCTTCTTGCCTCTGGGCCTGTTGCATATTCAGATCTGAAGGACGCTTCATTGAAATACAGAATGATTTTATAAGCACGTTTCAAATAACAGTTTCAATAGTTAGTTCCATCTAATATATATAGACGATCGTGACTGACTGACTGACGCTAATTCTAACCATGTTCCAGAAGAGTTAGAAATCTGAAACTTGGTTCACATGTACCTTTTNGATCGTGACTGACTGACTGACTGACTGACTGACTGACTGACTGACGCTAATTCTAACCATGTTCCAGAAGAGTTAGAAATCTGACACTTGGTACACATGTATCTTTTGGTGTGCAGAGTTCAGAAAAAATCCGACTTTGGAGGTTTCTGCCCTGGGGGTACAAATTTTGGGGGAAGAAGTTTTTTTAAAAATAGTTATCGTGATGGATAAGGATGTCATCGAAAGCTACCACTGTGTGTCTGCGGTTCGGTGGTGCAGTGGTAGCACATGGACCGGTAATCGGGAGACCAGGGTTCAATTCCCGGCCATTACTTGCCTTTTTTTTGGCTTCTCTTGCCTTCCATGTCCAGTTGGACATGGAAAGCGTAAACGTGGTATGGACGTGCATACCGAAATGAAGAGATAAGAAGAAATGCAAAATTTTTTATCCATCCCCTGGGGGCATGGATTCAGCAAAGCGGAGGGTGCAGGAAAGTTTAAACTTGGCAAAGAAGTACCTGATGAATAGCAGAGTAAAGAAACAATTC